TTACAGAATTCGGCCTTCTCCCAACCTTCTCAACCTGGGCCCACGTAACCATGCTCCACCTCTGGCTCGTCGTCGTCCGCCTGCGCTGCCTCGACAAGGACGCCCACGCCACCTGGCAGGCCCAGCTGGTCGATCACTTCTTTCACCAGGCCGAGGAGAAGATGGACCGCACCCACGACATGTCGTCGCGTGTCATGCGCCAGCGCTACCTGCAGGACCTGTTCGTACAGTGGCGCGGCGTCGTACTCGCCTACGACGAAGGTCTGGTAAAGGGTGACGCCGTGCTCGCTGCTGCCGTGTGGCGCAACCTGTTCAAGGCGAGCGAGGACGTCGATGTTCGCGCCCTGGCCGCCATCGTCAGCTGGATGCGCAGCAGCTTGAAATATCTGGATTCCATGGAGGATGCCGGTCTGGCGCTTCATCCTACTTTGTTCAAGAACAAGCCGGATGCTGAGCTGCAGGTGGTGGATAAGTTGGTCCCGGCGCTGGAAGGGCAAACGAGTAAGGGTGCGGCAGCGGCTGATGTTGAGGGCATTTCGGCGGCGGGACAGGCCGAGGCGAAGGCGTCGCCGGTAACAAGCCAGAAGGCTGAGCCCAAGGGTGCTGCTTCCCAGAAGCCGAAGGCGGTGCCCAAGTTCAAGACTGCTGCTTAGAGTTGGGATGGAGAGTAGAAGAAAGTAGGTTGGTCGGTGGAGGACTGTACAATTACCTTGTATTATAACAGCATACCGGACACTTCCCAAGCAAAAGTGACGGTAAGGACGAGATGCTGGATGGATGGATATTCATATGTAAGGTGAACCTAAAAGTGCTGCAACTAAGCACAAGATGTAGATACCATAGTGTGGGGAATCAAGAGGCACGAAATAAAACACTGTCACCATGCATTCATTGACTTTCTACATCCTCTCCCACATCTGAAACTCATACTCCGTCCCATTTTCGACTTGCAGCCCCTCGGGAACCTCCTCGCCCACAAACTGGTCCAACTCCTCTTTGCTCTTCCTCACCCATTCTTCAGATCCCGATGCCTCCCCTTCCTCCTTCAACACCAAAGGAAAAAATGTATCGCACCCAAACTCCGGACTCAAGACCCTCGTCAACAAGATCCGCTTGCTTACCTCCTTGGGTAGCTTCAGCGCCGCACCGTAGATTTGTCCGCCGCCAATCACAAATACCTTACCAACTTTTTGTTGTTGCTCTTGCTGCTGCTGCTGCTGCTGGCAAAGGTGAAGGTACTCGATAGCTTGCTCAAGCGAAGAAGCCATGACCGGTCCCTCTTCTACTTCAGAAGAAGAAGAAGAAGACGGAGAGGAAAGAGAGGGAGATGAAGTGACAGAGCGACTGACGACGATGTTCAGACGACCTTTGAGGGGACGGAACTTGGGCGGAATGGACTCCCATGTTTTCCGGCCCATTATGACGGCGTTGAGGGCTTTGGTACCGGCGAGCTGCGATGTGGAGTTAGTCTTGGTTAGGGGGGTTTGCGCTGCAAGGAAAACAAGGGAGGGAGGGGAGGTACACGATGAGGAGAGAAAAAGAAGGGAAGGAAGGGCATAAAGATAAAATTACCTGACTCGGCAACCTCTTAGTTACGCGAGCAAAGTAGGCCATCTCTTTCTTGAGACCAGTCCATGGAAGGCCACCGTTGAGACCAATGCCCATGTCGCGCGTGGCGGCGAGGACGAGTGTGAGCTCGATGGATGGGAGGATGGCAGACATGTTTTTCGTCTCTTTTTCCCAGCCTGCATAAATTGTTAAATAGATCGAAACGAGCAGTGTTGATTGAGATTGGTATTGATAGCTTACTTCTTGGGAAAAAAAAAAAAAAAAAAAAACTTTGTTTGTTTTGAGGGGGAGGATGGGCTTCTTCCACAGCCAGTTGTGAGTCAGATGTAAAGTGCTTGGTTGCTGTTGCCCGGGTGAAGAAGCGTTAACGATGCTAAACAGTGGTTAAAAGTGGGCCGGCTTGGTGTTGTCCGAATGTTTCACTCCTGTCGTCCCGGATTTTCGTCTCACCAAAAACTTGTCTGCTTCGCGAGATTTGAGTAACCATGGGGAGACTTGAGCCTGAGAATTACGCATTACTTGATTACCACACCTCATCTATCTTTCTCTGCTACTTCCTTTCCGTATCTATATCCATACCGTAGTGATATCTCGTCGTCTGTAGATGATAAGCAACGTCCGACGTGATCAAAATGTTCAAAATAACAACCCCAATCAAATGCCCCTTGCTGCGCGTTTCATTCAACAGAGCTGCTGCAACTCACTTGCTCTTGCAATGATCATCGCCTACAAGACATACCCGCCAGCATCAACACAAGTCCACTCCCTGGCCCCCCTTCCATCCTCCAACTCGACGCACCACCAAAGCGCACCCTTGGCTTTATCCACTTGACCACTTTCCTGATAAGCCCTGGCCAGAGTGAACCAAGCCTCCGAGTTGTTCCATCCGGTGCCTAACTTGGTCAACCCCGACAGCAATCCGTATGCGCGATCCCTCGCCGTAAGCCGGTCGTGCAGTGGCAGTGAGGTCGCCTTATGCGGCGGTGGGAGTTCGGGGCACTTGTTTGGTGATGAAGCACCCTTCAGTTTGAGTGCAGCCATACCGTTTTCCAGGTTATCCTGCCCCTTGTCTAGCTTGCTCTCCATCTTGGCTGTACTGAGACCAAGAGGCTGTAAACGCAGTTCAGGGGACTTGGTGGTTGCTTGTAGCGGTGTGGAGTTATCGCTCAGTATGCTGTCTTCCAGGTTGAAATTTGGCACAACAGGTGGCGGAAGGAGCTTCTCCGAGTAAATATCCAAAAGTATATCAGAAAGACCAACGATGGCGGCAGCGTGGTCAGGGAAGTGCATTAACGCGGTCTCGAAATCCGCTCGCGCCTCATAAGGCTTCCCGCATGCAACCGACAGATATCCCTTCTGTGAAAGACATTAGCATGGCGGTTTTCTTTTCACAACGACATAACCAGATAACCTTACCTCTGCCCATACATCCGCATAAAGCTCTTCGGTGCTCTTGGTCTCGCCCCATCCGGCCTCCCGGAGAGAAACATCTCCAGTTGTATCATTCAGGATCTCGGCCTCCAATGCCTCAACAATGTTCTGTGCCTCAGTGCACGCTTGTTGCGCATCGGCGACGAGGCCAGCCCTCCGATAGAACCCGGCGATGGTTAGCCAGACCTTGATGAGAATGGCCTTCCGTTTCCTCTTGCTATGCTCTTGCGAAAAGTGAATCACCGGTAGCAACGAGCCGTAAACCTGGGCGAGAACCGAAGCCTCTCCGTCATTGTATTCCTCGTTCGAATCAAACGAGTTGGTACGTTGTACCCCATCTATAGACGGCTCTTCAGGGGGCGGAGCAGCCGCCGCACCATCCTTGCCCGCGTAATCCGCCAGGCTCCCGTTAACAGGCATCGGCGGAGGTGCTTCTATGGCTCCTTGACTTCCACTGCGAGATTTCCTACGCAAGCTGTGCCTCCTACCAGATGCACTCCTGCTGAGGCTGTGTGATTTCCGTTTTGATTGCGCGTTCTCATTGTTTGTGACTTGGATCGCTGGCGCTCCGGGAGCCTGGGGTACAGGCGGGATACCAGTCAGGTTCTTATCGTGACTGCCGAAAATGCTCTGTCTCATCCCACGGCCTGATCGAACTGACCGACTACCGAATACACTTGCTCTTCTGTTTCGAGTTTGCTCCTTGGCCACTGCGGTGGTCGCGGTCCTGGGGAGTTCTGGCTTTGTTAGCTCCACCTTTTGGTCTAGATCACCAAACAATCTCGTGAACAGGGTGAGTAGTTCCGAGCTGGCATTGACGGCAACTGTTGGTCCTTCAACCAGCTCCAGAATAGCCAATTGAGTCATCTTGATCTCAAGGAGGCTTTCTTTCTCAAAGTCATCCATCTCATCGACAATACCCTGGCTAGTATAGCCACCATCCTCAACGCCAGCCTCATTGAGATGTTCACTCTGGTAAGCGCCATTCAAGCTCCTGGTTCCAAAAAGAATAAATGGATCCTTGAACTGTTCCATAGCTCCTTCACAGGCTCGAGCAGCCATAACATAATCTTCTTGTGCACTAAGCATCAGCGCCAGCAGATGCCAAAGAGGGATTAGCGACCGCTCTCGCCAGCAGGGTCCTCTGTACAGCTCCTGGCTCTCATCAATGTCAACATCTTCCAAGAGCGCCGTCTTGACCAGATTAATAGCGTAATGAAGGTTCCGCTGCTCAGCCAGAAGAGTGCCAAGAGCGAAAACGCCCCTTACATCCACGCCCAAGCCGAGCTCAGGCGATAGGGACTTGGATAAGCAGTGAACAGCCTTCTGCTGGAAGTGTGTCCGAGACTCTGAGTCGTACGTCATCCGCGCCCATTGCGCGTTGGCGAGGCCAGCCGCCTGGTATGTCAGGGCCAAGGCGCGAGGGGGCAGCAATTCTGCAGCCGTGAGAACCAAGTGCCCGTCCTTTGCGGCGTTCAAATTCTCCTCTGCGCTCACTTTGCCATTTGCTAGCCTTTCAAGCAGATTCTCTAACTGCAATCCCAGATGGTAGGCCTTTTCAGCCGCATCTCTACCGCCAAATCGACAGAGGGCGGCGATACACGCAGAAATAGTTTCGAGCATAGTCGCGTCATCGTCCAAAGCTGGTTCAAGATGTCCAGTCTTGGCAACTCGCGCTTTGCTCTTTTTGATGATGTCCAAATAGGAATCGAAAGCAGCAAAAGCTAGGTCGAACTCGGCCACGGCAAGGTGGACTGTGAAAAGGTGGCGCAAAACAGATGTCGAATGATACGTCTTTGTCGCGGCACCATACAAGGTATCGAGTGTTCCGTGGCTAAGGGTATCTCTTCCGCCCTTACCGAGATCCTGCTCTTTCCATCCGTGACCGTTCAAAATGATCCAATTCTGCATAACACGATCGACAAACTGCTCGACCTCTGTTCTCTGCTCATCGGCCCTGGGGAACTTGGTCTCGGTATATAGCAGCCCTTGGAAAATGATCTCCACCTTCTTCAGTTCAGCGCGCAACTGGCTCCTAGCGGACGAGTCATTGCTGGGCTCAGAGTAGCCCGTCGGAAACGGGAGGTCCCGTTGTAGGAGCTCGGAGAGCACGTGGTAGTATTCGGACCACACCTGCCGCCTAGGCACAGAGCCCCGAAACCCATAACCTCCAGCCAACGGTTGCCCCTTGGCGCTCGCCCAGTACTTGGACCACGTTCGAAAGCTGGCAAGACAGTTGGGGTCGGAAAGGAGCTCGTCATTCTCGCGAATCGCTTGGCTTGCCAGCATGCAGTATTCGGTTAGGAAGAGTTCGGCCCAGTATCGTAGCTGATGGCGGGCCGTTTTGGTGGTCCAAACGCTGCTGAGGGACGGCAGAGCTGCTTCAAATGCGGCCATGGCCATATCTCGCTGCCCATCACGAGCCAGGCAGTTCGCTCTAAGATAGGTCGACTTTAAGGCGCAGACCTTGGTCCATTCAGAGAGGGTGTCCAGGTTGTCGCATTGCGGATACTCGAGATCAAAGTTCTTGGGGAGTCGAACCAAGGCGATGGGGTAGTCCTTCATGACCCAATGTAGCCACCCTAGGCAGACCTTGGCCTGGAAACTTTCTTCGGGATGCTGAGTTTCGTTCTCGATGGCCGTGATGAGGTTCGGTATGTGGCTTGCCACCTCGATGCCCACGGCAGGCCCTCCTGCAGTACTTGGCCGATCGGTGTCCTGCGGCGCGGCCTTCTGGCAAGCTCTGGTGATGGCCAGCTCGATTTCGGCCGTCAAGGTGAGACCTAATGAGGGCGAGAGTCAGTCTCCAAGCCCAGTGACAACATTGTAGCCGAGGAAGATGGTAAAAGGCTTACATATCCGGTCAGGCGCATGCTTCCGCACCTTGCGGACCAGCTCGGGGACAGCATCCCAGTTCTCTTCGCAACGAGCATCGTCGAGCTGTTGGATATAATGCGCCGCTTTTACCGCGTCGGGCTAGAATTACATACGGGAAATCAGTACGCTGTCAGTGCATACGAAGCCGTAAAGGCGGAGCGGGAACTGGGTCAAAAAGGAAGAGGCGGAAGACAAGGCAAAGGCGGCCTGTGGAGCAAGGGACACTTACCATGTTGCCTGGTCTACAAAAGAGCACGTACTACGAAGACCTATCGAGACGAGGCATGTGATATGAGTATCCTCAGCAGATTATATGGAATGTCCGTGGTCTTGTTGTGCGGTTGCTATGTCGGGTTTCTGGTTCAGAGAAAAGGAGGGGAGGGGATGGATGGGCCTTGTAGGTTGATGTCAGGTACCCGGATGGACGTCCTGGCCACGGGCAAGCTGGACGAGGGACCTGAGGTGATGTGAACGTGGCGGCGTCATGGGCCCGGCGTAGGTAGAGATACCTAGCGGACACGGCAGGAGCCGCCAAGGTTGCGTTTACCGCCTGGAAAGCAGAGCTCCCGGCCTCTATAAAGGGGTTTCTTTCAGGACTCAAGTACTGCCCCTCTGGACCCCGGACCCTACAACTGCTCATTTAGCGGGTGGGTCAGGGGCATCGTTACGTAGTGGTAACTTTGCTGTGTAATTACCTGTACAGTCCCTCGGTAAAACAGTTCAGTTCAGTTGCTGTGACGACTCGAACTGACCATGCGATAAGACTAGATTTGCCTGCCGGGGCTGAAAGTAAAGAAAAAAAAGTTTCGATATGGGAATGGCAACGGACTGTAAACTGCCAACTTTCTCCCATGAAGACTGAACATCATAAGTTTTCCTCTAGAAAATAAACGGATTTGAAGTCCAAGCCATTGGTACATGAAATTGACGTTATAGATTGTCCCAAAACCCGAGTACGTTGTTGGAAACCTGGGTTCCAAAACCGGCCGCACGTGTGAATCCTCAAAATCTACCAAGAAAAAAATAAAAACTTGGGCCGTCTTCATCCTCAGCAACACAACTACCCTCATCTTCAACAACAACACTTAACTTACATATCCGTTAAGTGTAATTTACAAAATGGCAATCCCGCCACCGGACCTGCGTGTTCTCTGTCGCAGACTCGCATCGACACCAGTTGACGACCTTCCTCACATCTGTCCCCTCCTCGTGAGCCATGTGCTTCGTTGCGGAGAGGTCCTGTCCGCTGTGCCAGAGACAAAGGCCAAGGACAAGTCTTCGGAAACTGCTACGCTTGTTCACAGATTGAGAACTCACATCACTACACTTCTTGCCGGCAAGAGTGCGTCCGGTCGTTTTGCTGCTGTCTTCCTGGTCAAGGCCGTCGTTGATGTTGGGGGCTGGGAGAGCTTGAGGGCTTCAGACGTATGGATTAGGGGCTTGATCGGCATTTTGGGGGTGAGAATCTCAAGTAGACACCGGCGAACCTCGGAATCTCATGCTAATAAGCTCATAGAAACCTGATCCTCTGGTGTCCAAGGAGCTATGTGTCATCACCCTGACCAAGATCTACTCTCTCCTCCAGAGTTACCAGACACTGGTCAGAGAGATGGCCACGCCCACTCTCCCAAGCTTCGTCACTGCCATGTTAAACCTCGTCAAGCCGCCTGCCTCGAGCAAGGCACCCAAGGTTCCCACGTCTTTTGTCGATACTGTTGCCGGCTCTCTCTCCAAGATCGTGTCCTTGTATCCTACCACCACGAGACCCTTCAACGCCCAGATTCGAGCCGCCTTCAAGGCTTACATCGCTCCTACCATGTCTGACGCCGTCACCGTCCCCCAAAGCCTAAGAGAAAGCGCCCGCTCGCTGCTTATTGTGCTTCACTATACAGCGCCCAAGAACGGTAGCAGCGACGAGTGGGTTAAGGGCATTAAATCCTATACCAAGGAGGCCCATGCTACGGCCGATCAAGTTTTCCGTTCCGTTCGGGAGTCCTGGGAATCCACCGCCGGCTATAGAGTGGACACAATCCGTACTGATGGTGAGCCATCCGGGGGAGGTGACGAGGCCGATGAACTCCCTGCCTGGACCGGCGTCACTGCCGGCGCCGAGAGACTTACCGGCCTCATCGGTCAACTTATCGAGTACCTCAAGGTTCCCACCAAAGCCCCTATCACCATTCCCGTCGGGGAGCTCCTCGACCTCGCGTCCCGCATCACTCTCATCACCCTTCCCAAGCCCACCACCGGCGAAGACAGCGTCGAGACGAACCCAGCCATCAGCAGAGACGAAAAAGCCGAGCTCTGGAGCGTTCTCCCCGAAGTCCACATGGCCATCCTTAACCTGCACACCGTCCTCCTCCGTCGCCTGGCTGCCAACGCCATGCCCTTGGCCACCGACATCCTCGACCAGATGGTCCGCGTCTTCACCTCTGGCCGGCACATTGCCGCCATCCGCGAGACCGTCTACGTCCTCACCAAAGAGCTTCTTGAGATGTCCGGCCCGGGCCTCCTCAAACTCAGCGTCGACTCCATGGCTCCCGTCATCCAGGCCACGTGCCAGGACATCCTCCGCGCCACGGGCCACTACGACTCCCCCGCCGGCGGCAAGCAGGCCAGTAGCAGCACCAACCCCAACCCCAACCCCAAGAAACCCACGGCCGGTAGAAACGGCGCCGGCATCCTGAACCCCCAGAAAGTCCAGTCCTCGGGCAATGCGGACGTCTACCTTACCACCACTTCCACCACCCATTCTTCTTCTTTTTCGGATCCCCTCTTCGCCGCCGCCCTTTCCCTCCTCCCCCTCTTCCTCTCCCGCCTCCCGCAGCGCCACCTCAGTCCCGAAGCGCGCGGCCTGGTCGACCGCACCGCCATCCTAGCCAACAGCAAGCAAGCGATGCTTGCCAGCGTGCTGAACCCGTACAAGGACACACGCGGTAGATACTACCCTACCATTTTGCCGTTCTTGGTCAGGCAGTTCCCTGCCGATCAGGAGGTAGAGGTGTTGAGAACGAATCTGATGAGAGTTGGTGCTGGTGTGAGCCAGACCGTGGCTACAAGTTGGGATCCGGCGGAGGGGTTGGATGAGGTGGTTGGTGCTGCCGCGAATACTGGTGGTATGGAAGGGGAGGATGAGGATGAGGATGAAGACATGGTTGACGCTGAGGCGGATGCGGATAATGAGGCGGGTGCCCAACTCGCTGCTGAGGATCAAAACCAGAAGAGCAAGGCTGCTGCTGCCGCCGCCGCCGCCGCCGGAGTTTGGGGTGCTACCGCGGAAAAGAGTGCTGCTGAAGATGTCGCCACCAGCAAACCGAACCCGTTCACCATCGTCCCTATCGACAGTCCCGAATCGAGAGCTGAGCGCGCTTCGATGAAAAAGCGTAAAATTGGAGAGGAGGCCGCGAATCCTCCTAAGAGAGTCACCAGAAGTTCGAGGAGAAAGACTGTTGAGGTTGAAGAGGATACGTCTGCCACTACTATCACCGCTGAGGTCGTCGAGGAGGTCGCTACGCCCGCTCCGGCCCCGGTGTCCGCGAAACCAGTTGTGGCTATGATGGAACAGAAAGAGGGTGAAGATGATGGTGAGGATAGCGATAGTGGGGAGAGCGTCCAGATCGATATGTCGCTTGAGGATAGTGAGGAGGAGGAGGAGGAGGATGAGGAGTAGATTTGATACCTTTGGGAATTTGGATGTCAAAGTACTATTGTAAATACATATTGGCTCAGGAAGGTGATCTGCTTGGCCCTAATTACTTTCGGGTTCCATACAAACCCACCTACCTCTATCTGAAGGACTCTGTTATACGACCTGTCCACTTCATCCAACCATACTCAAATTATCCAGCTCAAAGGTTACCCCGAATGTCTTGTGCATCGAAAGCCAAAATAACAAGCGTGGTCAACGTCGAAGACCCCCGGGTATAGAATGAAATGTATGCCTCGAAGCTGATTTTCCACGCGCCTGATTCTACGTCTAGAAGCAAACCCAGAAAAAACGGCAAGCCTACCACACGTGACCGATGCTGGGAGGGTGTCTCAATCACGCAGCCAAGCCCTCCTCTTTTCCTCCTTCTTTGCCCTTCTCTTTTCCTTGAAAGCCTTCAGCTCGGCCCTACTTGGCTTCTTGCCCGACCTTTCCGCCTTGAGACTTCGGCCATCGTGCATATTCGCCGCCGCGTCCACGTCGAAGTAAGCGTTGAGTTGCCTTTTGCTCTTGGCCTCGTCCGAGTGACGCTCTACGTTCTGGTCCGGCGCTTGCCACTGACCCGTGGTCCGGTTGAAGTAGCCGGCGCTGGCTAAGTCGGCCCCGGCAACGGTGGGGTCCAAGCCAGCGAGCGGGTTGGTGGCGGCAGCGGCGGCCTCGGCAGCAGCGCGAGCGTTGACGGCATACCACGCATTTTCGTCGTAGTCGCCGTGAATGGCGGGATTGTAGCCACCGGCGACGGAAATGGGGTTGCTGATGACTGTGGGTTCTACATCAAGAGGAACGACCACAGGCGCCACCACCGCTGCTGCTGCTGCCGCTGCTGTCGCGGTTGGAATTCGCGGGTTTTCCTTCTGCCATACGCCGCTGAAGCGGTTATAGAACCAGTAAGAAGAGTCGTTAGGGTTCCAATGGTACTCCCAACCGTCATCTTCCGGTTCGGGCGCCGGCTCGGCCGGTAGAGGAGGAGCAGATGACGATGATTCGCCGTTGAATGTGTGGTCTGGAAGAGGCTCGTCAGGAAGGGGAGGGGCGGCGCTTTCGTCGATTTCGCCGGGCTCGGCGCTCTCAGCCCTATTTGATGGCGATTGTGAAGGCGACTCGTAGTCACCTTGCGACGAGTCTTGGCCGTCTGGGGACTCGGATTTCGGCTGTTGCGCGGGACTGCCCTCGCGCTCGTGGTCTCTTCGGCCTTCTTTAACCGAATGAGACTTCGGTTCCTCTACCGTTTCATTGCTATCGAGCACTTCTTCGGTGGCGGCGGGGGGCTCTGTTGTTTCGGCCTCCTCATGTGCCCCATCGGTAGCCTCTGTGGCCCTTGTTCCATCTTCTTGACGCTCCTCCTGCACCACTTCTTGGGCGGTAGCAGAATCAGGTGGAGGTGGCGTGGACATGGCGGGTTATGATTTGTTTTTGGTGATTGAACTGCAGAGCTAGATCTTGTCAATGAAACGCCGACCAGTCTGAGTGTAGTAGATTTAAAGCGAGCATATGCATTTCCTGACGGTTTATTCAGTTGCCTTACTGTGCCGGGAAGAAGATTACTGCAAACGGAGGAAGAGTTGAAGGGCGCAGTGTTGTACCAAGTAAGAGTGCAAAGGCGATTGAGGCTGATTGCGGTTAACAATTGAAGGTGAGCTTGATATGCTTCAGTGCGGTGATTCACGTCTTCCGCTGAGCCTACGTGATGTTGAGTTGGAGATGATGTTTATGGAAGGGGAGGAATAGTCCAGAGAGGGCGCCATTGCACCTGCACCGGCCCAGAGCTGACTGCCGGCGGCAATCCTAGCCACCTCACAGCTGTCCCAACTGTGTCCCAACAGTTGGCCAGCAGCTGTCAGGAGGACATGGACGTCCTGGTGGGTCATTCCTATGTCTTGGATCCATCCTGTGGATCGGGGAACCCATTGATGCTCGTTAAGCTTAAACAATCACTGCCACCCTTCCATCGGACTTCTCTCTTCACATCTTCTACGAGTTTCCAAAATGTTGACGCTGGCCAGTAGAACTTTTTTTTTGCAACATCTTACATGCGATTGGAGATGTGATGTCGACTCGATCGACTTCCAAGGACCAACTACCTACTCAGCAGTCAGCACTGGACCTGACTCGACTTCCTCAAAGTGTCACTGTCAGCTCCCCTTCTCGTTCCCCCCCTTGCAGCAGATCAGTGCGAGCGCAGCCTCCAATCGGAATGTCGAGATTTCCGCCGCGAACGTCTCTCATGTCTCTCATCTTAGCTACACTACTCCAACCCATCTGACATGAGGCCCGGTACCAAAGATCCCATCCCGCTGTTCAAACCAGTGGGGAGTATCAAATAAGTGCTCATGCTGATGTTGACAGTGAGGAAATGGTGGACGTTGCGATAGTGTCGTCGCATCGAAGTCGGTGCGGTAACGTACAAGCCCCTTCCTTCGCATCCTGCCGTGGTTGCAAGTTAATAAGCTTAACCTGATCTTGGAGCCAGGAAGTGGCTCCTCGTGTTAGGGCTCGGCGGTGCAAGCGTCGTGAGTTTATATTGTCTTCCGACCTAGTCTACCTCCCCGCTTCTATCACCCACTGGCTGTACCGTCTTTGCGTCTTTAACCGGAAAGTGAATCCTATCAACTGCACACATGTGGTATTTTGGCAAAATGCTGATCCAGGCATCCTGAACCTTGAAAAAGAGGTTCAATCTGTCATTGTCCGCAGCTTGCTCAGCCCACTCACCTTCTGTTTGTTCTTGTTGATGACTGAAAGGCCCAGGCAAACATGGTTAGGGAGAGTGGTATGGTACCAAGAAAGACGGCTATCTTGACTCTATTCTGTGGGTCAATGCCAAAAAAAAGCATATGCACATCTATCTACCTTTCCAAACATCACCACTTCTCCCGACTGCTATCTTTGCGAGGTCTCTGTGGTCGACCAGCACTAACATTGGCCAATTGACCCGAAGACGGAGATGCCTCGACTTGGGACTTGGTACCACCAAAGCACAGCATCTGGAAACTATAAACAGCAAGACATCTCTTCATCCTCGATTCGGCGGCCTCCTGTGTTTGACTTACCTGACGATTCTGCTCAGGAAATACTTCAAGAGTTCTCGCTCGAAAGTTGATTGAACTATTTGCATTACTCAACTTATTGCATCTTGTATGCTCTTCTGCTGCTTTATACACAGCATCCACATAGGGACTGATTGGGCCTCTTGTTGTTACATTCGGCCCTCTGTATGTCATTGCATCCAGGTACACTCCTCATTTCTTGTTTCCGTGAAAATCATCAAACTTTGTGGTTGAGTCTCGCTTTACACGTGGCTACCCCTTGACTCAGATCTCGATTTTGACTGATCGATATTCGGTACTGGCCACTCACCTTTACCTTTCCACACTCGAGATTGTTGGTGGCAGGGCTGAGCTTGACTTGAGCTATGATGGAGGCACATCAACAGAGAGGAAGAACTCACACAAGTTTACCCTCACTCATCACCCTTATCGCCATTGTTTCCCCTCTAGCATCAGCGGTGCCCTCTCTCACCGACGATTCAAAATGCGAGTGTTACCTGACAAACGGTACACAAGCTTCCTTCTTCGCCACCCACAAATTTCTAGACTTCCGAAACCTAGCTGCACACGCCGGCGTCCCACTCACCATCACCAAACCCAACGACAGCGGAAGTGCACCCGTTACTAGCGAATACTTCACCTCAAAAGAATGGACCGAGGCATTCTGGGTCCTAAGTTGGAACAACAGCCACCAAATCCGCGAGGACGCCACAGTGCTGATGGTCAACTCGCCCAATAACGTTTACATTGAAGCTAACGGCGACCGCAGCCCGTCCTCGCAAACCTGGCTCACCCTGCGTACCCAACGTCTCAAAGACTTCCAAACCGCCTCCGAGATCGAGTCCGTCGCGCCCGGCTTTCAGTACCTCTCCGTCCGCATGCTCGCTCGCACCGTCGGCTCCCCGGGCGCCATCACCGCCTTATTCACCTACCGCGACGCCGACCGGCTCGCGGACGTGCAGGAGTCTGATCTCGAAGTACGCACCATGGACCCGCGCAACACGATCCAGTACACCAACCAGCCATCCTATACGGAAAAGGGCGAAGAGATCGACCACGCTACCAAGAACGTCACGCTTCCCCCAGGCCACCCGGATTGGACCCACTGGGCTGTGCACCGGCTTGACTGGACCCCCAAGGAAACTGTCTGGTACGTGGATGGGACCGAGGTCGCGACTATCTCGTTCCAGACGCCTAGAGATCCTAGCAAGGTTATACTGAACGCGTGGAGCGATGGCGGCGAGTGGAGCGGGAACATGACGGTTAATGACGCGGCGTACTTACAGATTCAGTGGTTGGAGATTGTGTATAACGCCACGGATGAAAATCCCGCAAAGAGGAAGAGAGATGGTGGTGGGGTAACAGCTGTGATGCTGAGGGAAAGGGATGAGGGTGGGGAGGGTAGTTGTGATGTGGTGTGCAGTATAGATGAAACTCTGGAACCGGGAAAGCCGGTGATGTTATGGAATAATGGGGCAATGAGGATGGTCGGTGGAGGATTGGTTGCTTGGATACCTTCATTAGTGACCTTTGGTATGCTCGCCTTGATTTCGGGGGGTTTGTGGTAGAGAGAAGCAGGTTGTAAGGGGACGTTGTCACATAAAATGGCGTTAGGAGGGTGTACCATAAACATGTTCATGCAGGTTTTCAGTGAATCAAGTGATGAGTGTGCCCGGAGGATTGATCATAAAAAAAAAGCGATAGTTGCAACATCCTCCGTCGAGTAAACAACTTACATATACATAGAAACCAGCTCACCGGGTTCATGACGGGTGTCAATGATCAATCAGCCAACCTTACTTTTCCCGATCAGCCATGCCCATCTTTCCACCATCTTTATTTTACGAGCGCCTATCCACTTGATCGCCACTTCAGGCACATGTTTTCATAGCTTCATCAAGAAATTCCAAGATACCAAACCGTGAACACTTCAATAGTCCCTTCCAACCCAATACATTAACCTAGAGGTACTTAGCGAAACGGCCAACATAGCGAAAGGGTGTTTAGCGTTGTCTATTATAACACGTGCCCGTCAAGCATTACACGTATTGAGTTGAAGGACTTGTGGAAAAGACATCTTACCGTAATTGTACGAGAGCCGACTGAGGAAACCCATGTTAGGGTTGACCATAATGATGGGAAAAGAAAAAGAAAGAAGTTTGCTTTCCCAATGTCTTGAGCATACAGACAGCCCTGGACATACACCGCCAAACTCAGTTACACATTAAGCCAAATTTACAACAAAGATGGTTTCGATGGACGCCATAATTCGCATGGTACTTATGATTGGCTTTAGGTAAAGAGCCGTTGTTGTTTTGTAGCTGGACCTGCGGAGCTTGCTGCATGCCTGCCTCTTCTAGGCAATCTTTCAGGCATTTCGCAGACAAGCACCGTACAGTTGGAGCCGGCATATGATGAATAAGTTTTAAATTGCCGGCCTTGAGATTGCTTTGGCAGCTATACTTGTGATGAGAACTACGGCGAGGTGAAGCCACTGCAGTGAATCATGAACTCGAAGCTTCGCCAGCCTACTCTTTGAGTACCAGTACGCACCGGCAGTTCCATGCTTGGACTGGACGCCTGTAGGCATCATATACACCATCTATGCCATCACTCTCTGCATATCTCTAACAGCCAGGAAAAGCTAGAAAGCCACCGCCTCTCTGGGTGATACCATTAATTGAGTCTGAGTTTGGCCTCCGACTACTATCAGCTGTGTGTGGTCCGCGTATGCTCCATGTACCACGTCAAGTCAGGCATATCATATCAAAGTGTGAACATGATCTGATTGGAGCATTCAAGGTTCCGATAGGCGGACAAACGATGAAACAACCTATGTCAAGAAGAGAGGTAATCAAGATGAGGCAGACATCTTGAACTGGTAGGGTCCTAAGCCATATGTAAAACAAGCCACCATTTACTATACAACCACTACCACCACCAAGATGTAGGTCTAGCCTCTTGACCGCCCGGTGTTGGGTTGGGTGTCCAAAGAAAACGCTTGGCAAGACATTGGTGGTTTCACGGCCGCGAGAGGGAGGGGAAATATTTTGTGCTTGAACACTGATAATGGCAGCGTCGTCTCCTGTCATGTGTTTGGCTGATGGCATCTCCAGGTCATCAGCTTAGAGATTTTAACTGAGCAAGCAAAGCTCTTGATGGCTGGCTGGCTGGCCGGGCCTTGGCCTTCGGAAATATGGGAGTTGTTGGCGGGGAGTATCTATATATGGGCCATTCGCTTCCTGACTGGCTGTTGTCGTCACCTCATGGTTGCGCAGTGAGATGATGTCGGTAAAGGCGAGGCTGTCACCCTCGTCCTCTTGTTTCTCAGTTATACTCCTACTGCTCGGACTGAAATGCTGCTGGCGAAGCATGAGGCGTAACGGGATGGCTCAAGATCCGCCAAGCTGGGTAAATGCTTGTTGCTTGTTCACGGATCCGAAGATGGTACTAGGATTTGGGTACAGGTCCCCAAACCGAACACCGCTCGGAGACAAAGATATGCAGTGCATTGTTGCGCAACATGACCATTCGATCATACATGAGGCAATAACCTTGTGAGTTATATAGCAGAGTGCTGTATGTCAAGGGTTCAATACTTATGGGCAGAGAGAAGCAATAGGGCAGGATAACAAGACCTGACCCACGTACTTGCCCCGCCGTTCCTCGTATTCTGACGGAGCTTGTGAATCATTGGGAGGGAAAGGACCCTCATTTTGTCGAGAAGACGATAACTGGCCGCTTGGTACGTGTATAACCACGAGTGCCGTGAGAGCGTGAGTGCTGTGGGGGGCCGGCCGACGAAAGCCGACGCCGTAGGTGTGAAAAAAAAAAAAAAAAAAAAAAAAAAAAAAAAAAAAAAACACGTGGACGTCACCGTTAATCGCTGTATTACCAGGTTCAACAGTCCACTACTCCAGGCCGCCCGGCAGCATCAGAAACCGCAAAGTCTACGACCTGAAGCGTCACAACTTTGACCGGAGGATTCCGGTGATCCAGTGGTGAGCTGGTAGCTTATATTGATCGGGCAGAGCTTGGCGAGCTTCAACAGTCCAGATTGGCGATGGACATGTTTGCCTTCCGATCCGGGTTAAAAGGCACTTGCATTCAGACGGATGAGAGCATGAAAAGGACATGATACGGCGAGCGACGAAGCATGTCGTCGCCGGATGAACAGGAGAGAAGGACTGGAACTGATCAGGAGCCAGCTTGCCAGCCACCGGCTACCAGCTACATCTACGTAGTTGTAGTAGACTTGCCACTGATGGTCCATGCTTTGGTATGTTCGGATTATGCTGCTGGAGGGCGATGACGACGATGAACATGCGGTAGAACTCGAATGCCTGTCCATGTCGAACATGGCACGGTCATAGTTCTCACCTCCAGTTCCTCCTGTGTTCCGAGCACACAAAGTCGAGGCTTTTGAGTTTGCCTTGACTGGTTGCCTTGAACATTTCAGAACTCCAGCGTCCAACATTCCCGTCGAACCGGTGGATTGGTAAATTCTCCGTTATCTTCCGAACATGGATCCGCTGGGAACTGTGCAAGGACGAGAAGGAAATGGGGAGGCGATCAGGGGAAGATCATGATGACGAGACGAGAATACTTGGGGGGTGCTGGGCGCCAAGGCTTTTCACCCCCCTACTTGTTAAGTAGGGGGTAGCGAAAAACTGGGACACGGTTTTAATCTTGGACATCTGGAATCTTAGCCTTCTGCTAAGAAAATTGTTAGTAGGCTATATACAGCAACGAAAAGCACACCAGCCATTTTTTGAAAAATCTGAGAAAAATCAAGGAGGACTATAGAGTATTCAACTGACTGTTCTCAAAATTGCATCAAATTCCATTTAAGCGTTGAGGAGAAAATAGCAAGTGCGCTCCTCTTCTGCTATCTGAGTGTCAATTTGGTTTGGTGGTTGATGCATTCTAGAAGCGACGACGTTTGGTAGTTGGATAGGATCGGAAGCTACCATTCAATGAGTTATTGAGATGAATTTTCCAAACCTTAACAATTGTATTTCCTAGTCCAAATGCACCTCCTTGAATTTTGGTAGAATTTTAGAAAAAAGGTTGATAGAGTTTTCGTTGTTGAGCCTTGCCCACTAACACAATTGTATAGTAAACGCTAAGATTCCAGATGTCCAAGATTAAAACCGTGTCCCAGTTTTTCGCTACCCCCTACTTAACAAGTAGGGGGGTGAAAAGCCTTGGCGCCCAGCACCCCCCAAGTAGATGTCCGATCGTGAACAGAGTCAGCTTTTGTTTCTTTTTTTCGATAGGTGCTAAAATAACGAACCCCTCCTGTCAGGGATCCATGTCTAAAGCGGGAGGTAGTTTGCTCTTGGGTCTTTGGGGATGGGGATGGAGGCAGAAAGAGCCCGCATCATGGCGTAATTGCATAACGTGATTAACAAGTGGATCCCACGTTTGCAGCAACCTTACGAGCTTGTTTTAAAGCTTGTCAGACTTCCCCAAAAAAAAGCTTCAATTTGATGGAAGCCTGCCACTGCCTGCCAACACCTACCCGCACTAGCCCGCACTTTATATATGTAAGTACACAACGGAATTGCTCCACGCCGGGCTCAGATACCTACCTACCATTGAACTTGGTGTTGGCTCTAAACTGTGGCAGTAGTATCTGCCAACACAGTCAGAAACTCCCACGTTCACCGTCCGGCTGTTCTGATCTCAACAGGCTGTCACAACATGAAACTGCGTATGATGAAAGGGGGTGAAGAGAGTCGCCATATCGGGTCATCATTCCACATGAGTCGAAGATTTCGGAACATTTCCAGAACTCACTGACGTTTTGCTAGTTGTTATCCCTGAGATCGCTCGATATCCAGCTATCCTTTTCGTTGATTATACCTGAATGGCCGCCCTGTGCCCCTCAGTCAAATCAGTCAGCATCATGACTCCTGTTGTCTCAATTGGACCCTTGCGTTCCTGAGCCTGTCCCTGGGCGTCCCCCAAGTGAGACAACACGTAAGGGGCATACAGCTTGCAAGACCAAAGAGGCTAGGCCGATCTAGGTAGGTATGTAGGTAGGTCTCTGAATGGTCAAGCACGGAAAGATAGCATGGGTAAAACCTTGAATCGCAACCACTACATATTAATAAACGTTATTTCATCTGGCCACCGACCGACGATGAATTGACATTACTTGTTGAGATGACACGGTGGATGGCGTATGGACTAATGTTACAGATCTGCGCATATAACATTATCTGCCAAAGCAAGCGGAGTCGGCAGAGCCGTTGATCGAGCTGCCGCTGGCGTTGCGAAATGCGGCGAACGTGAATGTGATTGCATTGTCCACGCTGGCGGGGTTGAATGTCGAGACGTTGAGTTCGACTTTGGCCCGGAACCATGCAGATGGTACTCTACCTACTTGGAGCCGTGACTGTACTTACAGTACAGTAACTTACTGTACTCTGTGTACTGCAGTCCGTAACGGAAAGGCAGTCACCCTCCCGCACCTGCCCATTCCTACCTAGGTCTACGGCACTGCGCGGTCCTGTCCTGCGGTCGTAATGCATCTATATAGACTGATCCCTACCTTATGTTTAAGTTGGTTGTAGGCAGATGGAGTTGTGGCCGATTCCGAAACAGCAAGAGCCTTTTGACTTTGCGAATTGATAATATCCATCGGTGTTGGCTGGTATAAACATCGGAATGTTGCCCCCCCCCCCATGGTTAGATTAAGTATAGTACCAGTCTGGAGCATTGTTCCCGATTAAGCCGCGGCAGTGCCTGGTGACCCGTTCGGCCTCGTCCCTGATGATCACGACATTCCTGTCGCACAAAGAAAAGTCGACGAGCCGAACTCCAGATCTGGCCGACCGATTAAGTATTCCGGATGGAGACGAAGACGAGACAGAAGTCGTTGAGATGTGGTACACCAAGAGGTGGTCGGGCCGCAGAGGGGTCACATACTATTGCGCGCTCACTCAGGATACCACCACAGCACCACCCATCCACTTCTTGGCAGCCGATACGATATCCTCCATATGTACTGGCGCCTCATTCATCTTTCCACAGCGCCATAAACGGCATGGTTGATCTTGCAGCAGAAAGGCGCAAAATTATTGTTGACTGGTGGACTGGCCGTCGCCTTCAATGTCGCAAGCGCCTTGACACGCGTTGGCAACGACTCTTGCATACTCCGCTCGCGCGATCCCACGATACCCGGAGGTTGAAGGCTCGATGCGACTTAATCGGCCCTCATATCGCGCTGGCCTGGTCTCAATGACACGGCAGCCACTGTGCAAGAGTGCTTGGGGAAACAACACGGGGGTCACCACCGCAGACTCACGCGCAACGGCGAGAAATCGAAGTCGGAATCCGCCCGGGACTCCAGGTTTGGGGACCCCTTGCTCGTTCCACACGTTTTTTTTCTTTGTTTCCTCACGGTATTTTATTCCTCCGCCACGTTCTAGGGACTTGATTGACCACGTTATTGCCGATAATACCTTTGCTATCGGCTGACCCAACAGATATAGCAAAGCCCAAGCTGATCACCACCAGATCATGGCAGCAAAGAGGTCCATGAATGAACAAAGGATGGATGATATTTTATGCCTATCCACCACCACTGCAGCACACCACATTGCGGACACCACCGCAGGCTGGGCAGCTCAGCGGAATGTTGGCTGTAGCAACGGACCTGGTTAGCGCGACCTTGGGGAGCGCTGATGAGCCTAGCCAATCGCACAATTTCGGCTCGCATGCCCCCGTTAGAATAGGTATGTATGGAATCGTGAAGACACCCGAGGCCGCGAGCGAAAGGACTTTTTCTGGGGTTCAGGCCAGTTATAGGGTACCTCAACCCTGCATGTCCTCTTTTTGGTGATGACGACGCAGTCGATGGCGGCGCGTTGCGGCAATATCAAGCGGCTGTTAAGTGCCAATGAAGGCCCATGTTAAGATGAGATGGTGGTAGCGAAGACCTTGACTTCTGCAACTTCTCCCTACTGAGAGCAAGCGAGAACACGAGGAAAGAGCAACGAAGGGAAAGCAGATGATCAGTCAAGTTCTTGCATGCCCGGGTTCCCAAGGGTTTGATAGCTGTCTGTCTCCCTTTCTTGACACTGGTTAGTTCTGTCCTTGTCTTCCACCAAGCAGCCGTTCCTTTCGCTTTCTCATCCGCCGCTTCCAAGCACCTTGGTGTATTGTTATGTCTGGTCATCTCGAACCAACGACGACGAATTTGCACCACAAACTTGCAGCAAGCTAGAATCTGGACGGGCTCGTTGCGATTCAGATTGCAGTAGCAGCGCTCATCATGTAACAACATGTACGCATCCTTCCCCCTCCCAGTCGCTAGATGGAAATTTCCTGATATGCCCGTGTATACACGGCATCGTCTCGATTTTGCCTCCAACGGCCGACCGATCCATCGATCGGACACATGAGTCTGGAGTCCCTGGCGACGGGAGCAACATGCAAAGGTGAGGCAAGACAGAAATCGGTTGCAATTTTTTCCCTTCCTTTTTGGGGTGCGGTAAAGGGACGGATCAGGAAGACATCGTGCCAGAACGTGAATTAGAAATCTACGTCGTAGTGGCCCAAGAGGAAGAGATTACGGAAATAATATATGAAGCTGAAGGCGCTTCCACTCCCTTGATATTCACCAGTGCCTTTCCAGATAAGCGTCTTTGTGCTTCGGGTGGGTCATGTCCGGTTGCTAAAATTGCGTGTAATTGAAGATGGAAGCGCAGTGGTGTTGTTTGGACTTTGCCGTGGACGCTACCAAAGTCATTGCCAAGTTAAAAGGCGGTGCCCTGCTATGCCTGCAGTGCGTGTCTCAAAAGTATTGCGCCGGAGCATCTGAACAAATGAAACCGAAAGAAAAAGAACCTACCTTCCTTAAGAGGTGTCCATTTACATCGATCATAGATCTTGAGGTTGCCAATGTCCTTGAACGCCTTCCGGATTATGTTAGAACACCGTGACGGTGTCTTGGTCCTCCCACAGAGTCAACCTGGATGGATACCTATGGAAGGGACAGTAAAGGTATGTAAACACCGGAGCCAAGGGCCATCAGGTTGGCGTCTACTAGACTTGATATGGAAGATGGACTGGCGTAACAATGAATTGCTGTTGTTGCGAACGGTATTGTTACTGTACCATGCGTTGCAACACTAGGAAGCTCCGCTATTTCCCATACAAATCCTAGTGCAGATGACAGGGGGCATCGGGTCCACCTCTGAATGCCCGTTTCCCGAGAAAGTCGAGAGGAGAAAACGGCCCATCAGTCCAGGGCATCCACCAGGGCATCCACTCTCCTGTCCATCATTAGCCATTGAGGTTCTGTTCCGTTGACACTGGCCTGCACGCTCCATCCCTCTCCCACCCAAGTCCCAACTCTCCGTTGTTGCCCGTCCGCTGTGCCCTCTCGCGCATCCACGCTCCCACTGCTCGCTCCTCCACAGACATTTTGCAGTGAGTGGTGCAGTTGTCACCCGTCAAAACCTCCATTTTCTCATCTCCATCCCATCTGCCCCCCAATCGTCATCTGTCTCTCGTTCTTGCGCCGCTTCCCTCCATCTCCCCTGCGGTTTTGTTTGGGTCTGGGCTTGTTGAGTCGACATACGTTTGTTTACTTCCCCGGGTTTTTCTCTTATTTTTCTCGCGCTGAGGTTGGGGCTGCCCTGCCCTGACCTGACACAGAGTTGAGTTTGGTTAACTCTCTCCGTCCGGCCCTTCTGTTCTGCACAAGAGGTTCCTGTGCTTCCCTGCATGCCTTTACATATCTGGAGTGCCTACCTTACCTTTCAACAGCAGCACGCTTGACACAGGCACAAGCATAAGCACCAGTCACCACTACCGGGCCTCTACCGCGCAACGAAACGGCCTCAGTTCAGCCAACCTCAACTTCCATCTCAAGTGCCTCGCCCTTCGTTTGGGCAAGGCCCCTTCTTTCTCGAATTTCCGCCCTCCACTTCCCTCCTCCCGGTCGTGGACCTTTTGCCTTCTCCGACTCTTCCGTCCAATCTGCTATCTTGTCGCCTTTTTTGGTCGTCTACTACTTCTTCGCAACGACTCTTGGTGTTTGTGTTCCTGCTCTCGAGCTTCACAAAAGGAATAAAGGAAGAGCGAAAAAAAAAAAAGAAAGGACTTGGCCGACGACACTCCGCAACAACCGCGGAAATCTAAGATTCGACTGCCTGAGAGACTCTTCGAGAGCTCCACCGAATCGCTTCTCTCCTCCACTATCTGCGTCGACCGTTCTAGTAACCCGGACATCTGATCATCCCCCATGCTTTCGCTCCAACAACCGACCATCTTCCGGTGTCAATCGTGACATTTGCCTGCGCCCATCCTCCGTCGCACTTATCGCTGTGGGCGGGTCGTGACAGACTCGACTTTGTACAGAAGGGCAAGACGTCCACGGTGATAGTGGACTTCTTCCCTGCCACATCAACAACCCATCTTCTTCCCCCCCTCCCTTGGCCGCAGGCGTCCCTCGCTTTATAGTAACAATTGTTCTCCCAATCATTTTTCCCCCCCAAAATCCCTATCCCCTCAAACAAGTCTGCTTCGTTCGAGGTCGAACACAAATCCTCTCGCCTCTATCAGCGGCGGAAAAAGGTAGGTGCCAGTACCCAAACAAAACATCACCACTCTACCCTTAGCACTGCCGCCAATGTCAAGGAGTCCCGTCAATCACAACAAGAGCCCTGACGCCGCATCTCCCAACACAACCTACCAATTCGCCATTTTGTCAGACAGCCTTGCGACAACAACTTAAACCCCTATGCCATTTCGCTTTTCCTAGTTCTTCTTGTCAAACCTGACTTCGTTTCGCGGAAGATGCTAATGCCTGCCGTAACCAGATTTCCTCGTTAGCGAAAGGCTCCACTGTTACTTTCCTTGAAATCACACCATCTCCTTGGTTCAGTTACAAGTACCGTTCAACGTCCTGATTCACCTCACGGCGGCGGGACGACAGATCGCTCAGGTTTGACAATGGCTGCTTTGGTGCAAGGCTATCCCCGGCAATCTGGGACTGCTACCATGCTTCAGACAAGACCGGCCTCCTCCACCGGCATCATCCAGCCTGCCCAGTCGCAGTCAAATCCACAATATGGTCACAACATGTCCCAGAGAAACAGTATACACGGGATGTCTGGTGTGGTCGGCGCACCAGTGGTGTACCGTCAAGCTTCTGGCTCTGTGCAACAATACGCTTTTACCAACGCGCCAGCTCTCAACCACGCAACACATCACCACCAATTCAGGCAACACCGTACCTCGTCAACACCATCCGTTCCCCAAGTACAGAACTTTGATCAGTCTGGCGCGCAGACCCGATACCAATCCAGCAACTCCATGACAAATCTTCCCAGCCCTGCAACTATCAATGGGCAATCAGCCGGCGGTTCGAGAGACGATTCGGTCATTTCAGTGGGCAGTAGCAGGAGAGTCGCTCCTTTACCTCGGCCTCATTCGGCGCATCTGGGCGAAACCTTCTCGGTACCTCTGATTGCTTCCGCGGGGCCGCCCAAAGTGTCGCCAGAGAGGTATCGCCGGCCAGCGCAACGGGCGAATGAAACAGCACCAACCATGTCAAACACATCGGAGCACAAGAGCGGTATGCTGCGCGGTCCAAACGGAGCGCTCCCACACCGGCCAAATAGCTTCACA